ACTGGGTAATACAACGATACATAAAATTATGTCAATGTTTTTTTTCGCCCCTACCTCACTGAGCGGCGAAGTTTTGCAAATGTGCGCTCACATCGTGAATGTTTTTGTTTTCCTCCGGGGTACGTTCAATGTTGCCCGTCTTGATCTGAACGCAATTTTATTGAAAATCAAATTAATAACAATCTGCTGAGACGCTAAGTACGTCGTCAAGGCCTACCTGTTGCTGTTGAATCGATGGACGTATGACACCTCGAGTGTGGACGCAAGAACGACGCCTAACCATGTGATATTGTCATCTTTGGTGACTGCTTGTATCAAACAAAAGACGGATAACCCCGCGTTGCCCCTCCCAAGATGGCCGCCACGCAGGCCCATCAGTGAGCCAGCCGGGCTGCTCCATCACGTCTTCTCTTCACATTCTTCTCATGACTGCTCATCCTTTCAAATTTCTTTCTGATTATTTCAGACTGCCATTGGTGCTTCTTTTCTTTCAACATACAATCCAGACGCAGCCTTTTTTTTCTTCCTCCATCTTTTGGCGCGAGTTAGCCTTAGCCCCGGCCATTCGTCAGGACCCATCAAAGGAGGGATGACGAATGTCTTGAGCCCTTTTATTGCATGCAGGCGCTGCCAGCGCAGAGCCCGACGGCGGCGAGCGCACGTGTGAATGAAGAGCCATTTTAGAAAGATTGGCCGGCGCCGAGGCGCCCAACGGCAAACGGGAGGCCGCTCGTCACGTCGGATCCCGTTCGCAGGAAAAGTGTGGCGCTTTGTGCATGAAACTTTTCCGACTCGCGTTTTCTCAGCGGCATAAAAGTGAACCACTGTTCAATTTCACTTTTGGTCGAAAGAATTCAGCTTGTCGTCGGAGAAGCAGAATTTCACTAAGATTGCCCCATTTTGTTTTTGTTGATTTCAGCTCGTTTGTGTTTCAAGTCTTTTTCCGTGGCGAGATGCCGTTTGTTACGTGTACGAGGAGCCTGTGCTGCCGGAAAACAACTTTGATGACATAAGCGAGCCAAATTCGCGAAGGGAGGGCCGGCTTGTTCGCCGTTCGGTCTCCATATGTTCGCCACACGGCCGCCCGTTTCACAAAAAAAAAAAAAAAAAAACAAACAAACACGATTAGCATTAGCCCGATATGAGGGGGGGGGGGGGGGGGGGGGGCGTCTGTGTTTTGGCACCACGTCAAACAACGGCCGCGCTAGCGTGCCACCGGCGTAACGATTAAAACTTGCAAACTTTTTCCCAGTTTGATTTGGCCGCACCATTAGCATGAAACGTTTTATTTTTAGCGTCTTTTTTTTTTTTTTTTTGTACACGCCACCAGAGCGTTGGCCGCTTTGCGCCGGCCAATCGCTTCATTTGTCGCCATCGTGGGGCTAATTGGACCTCCGGAGGAATAACGAGGTGACCCGATGAAAGCGACACGTGACTTTGGCTTCGTCACGTGACGACTTTTCAGGGCTTTTTTTGTTTATTTTTTTTTCATCCCGTTCGCTCGCTCGGCGGCGTTTTGCCTTCTTCCTGTGCCGATCTGACGAACTTTCCGCCAAAAGTCTGGTTTTGATCGTCCAACTTTGATTTTCTGGGCCAAAGAGACGTCACGACACTTTGTTGGCACAGTTAAACAGAAACGCGAAACGTCGGGCGCTTTCGATGATTTCATCTTTGGGCAAGGCGAGGCAGCTTTAGTTCTCTCGCGCATTTCTGACAGCAGCTAAATCAGCGTGCTTCACATCGTTCCAAAAGATCACTTCAAGGCAAACACATTTTAGACATTGAGAAAAAAAAAGAACGGAAGAATTGAAGATGTTGAGAAGCAAATGAGTCATTTGCTAGCGTCAACTAAAAGAGCCCGATTTTTTTGGGGGGATCGTTGAAATGCTCTAAAATACTTTCATCATAGTTCTGGGCAGGAGGAACGTGGAGCAGGATTTTGAAGACATTTTCCCGTGGGGCTGACTTCACACCTGCGTGCAGCATGACAGCGAACGTTTGTGGCATTTGTTGGGGCGGAGGAGTTTCCCATTTGAATAATTGAGTTGAAGCTCAGCCTGGTGTGCGGGCCGCGATGCGTGTTCACGTCGGTTCTCTCGGCACGCCTGCGTCGTATGTTGCTGCGGCATCCATTCGGCCGAATTTTTATTTTTTTTTGTAATTTAACCTGTCCAAAAAAAAGGATAATTTTCCCCGAACTTCATGATGTGCAGAAATCATTATCATACTAATGAATAGTCCTTACGTGTTGTTGACCTGATCTATTCTGCACTTTCTAGGTCCAATATCCCAACATGTCCTCCTGGACTTGATGTCTTCTAAAGTCTTTGTCTTTGACTTTCAGGAAAAAAAAAAAAATCTCCTGAAAGGCAAACTTGATTCCGACACGACGGCTCGCTTTCATTGCTTTGGATGTCCAACATCAGCCAGTTTTGGCTGCGCTCGCGAGTTGCAGGTTGGGAGTTTTCCGTCCTCGTCGTCATCGCTGTCAGGAGACCTGCCAGACCGAACCCATCGATGGCCGACGGGGTGGTTAGAAACAAGAAAAGAAGAAAATGTTACAGTTGCTGTCGTGACGTTTGCCCTAAAAACGACCTTGTTTGCGGACAAAAATGCAATGGACCAATGACAGAGCCTTGAGGGACTGTTGATTTTTATGGCTGCCATTGTGGGGATAAAATGAAAAGGAAGACAATTTTTTTTTTTTTTGTCGAGATGGAAAAATGAAGACAAAATATAAGACCTGTCGATTGAATGGCTCTTTATAGATGAAACCAAAAAGAAAAATGAGGGCAGAAAAAAAGACCTCTTACAGAGCCCGTGGGACTCTGTCGATTTGATGTTGTTCCGTAACGAGCACAAAATAAGCAATTATGACAATGAATTCAATTCATAAATAATCGACGGCTTTCTTTTCCGAAAACAAAACGAGTGGCTTGGTTGTATGGCTTCCGTGCACGTGGACCTCAAGGCTTTCGCAAGCCAAGGGTGAGCCGAGTGTTCTCACCGTGGTGGTCTTGACTCGTCCCCCCGGTTGCGTGCAGGTCCAGCCCGACTGATTGACGAGCAATTCGCAGCCCTCGCCGTCCAGACACGGACTCATCCGGCACCACTGACGACTCAGCACGATGTCGGCTGCCCGGGCAGGAAGGGAACCGCGTTGTTGACATGACTCGCGCTAAGCTAACCTGAAGCTAACTGCGCACTAGCTGGGTCGGTACAGCCCCGCGCAAAGGCTAACGCGTGGCCGCTGTTGCGTACAGGAAGAGAAAAGTCAAGAACATGTGGACAAACTGATTGGGACGCCTGCAGGGAGTGAAAATGTGGCAAAGGTATTGCGACACATTCGGTAGGTGAAGTTGTGGACTGGACACAAGTGTTGGCGCATATGCGGGAGTTCAAAAGCGAAGGAAATGCAGACACAAGTACTTCGTATGAGGGCACGTAGGAAGCGGAAAGTGGAAAAAAAATGCAAACAAAAGTCACAGTGGAAAAAATGCATTTGTCCAAATGTTTTTTTTTTTGTTGTTGTTGTTTTTTTTAGCAGCAAAACGAAAAAGCCAAAGTGACATAAATACCAACAAAGCGCTTGCGGAAAAGGTCACAGATGTTTGTGTTTCCAAACATTTGTCATCCGTCAGCTGACACACGTTGCGGAGTGTCATGTGACGTCGACGCGTGACCAACAAGCGTCGTCACTCCGTGACAAAAAGGAAAGCTCAAAATGGGCGGCACCGGCGCCGCTCTGACCCCCAGTCCTGGAAGCTTTTTTTTTTTTTTTCCTAACCAGCACGTATGTGTACTAGCTAGCTAGCTAGCTAGCCACCCAACTAATCAACATAAAGACACAGCAGCCTAATGACCTGTCTATCCTAACCAGCACGTATGTGTACTAGCTAGCTAGCTAGCAAGCTAGCCACCCAACTAATCCACATAATGACACAGCAGCCTAATGACCTGTCTATCTAATCGACCAACCAACCGGCAGCCAACCAAAATGTCTCCTAAAGTCCGCACCTAATTGAGCGGCTAACCAGAAACCTAACGAACCCACTACCAAATCACGACTGACCCAACAGGCTAATCAATACGCTAACTAACAAACCAAACAAACGACCTGGTTTGCTAAAGTTGTGCTAAATTCGCTCCATTTGATTTTGTCAAGCGTATGGAATGGTCTTTTATGAGCGTCGCTCACCGGCTCTCAATCGGCGTGACGTCGCTGCGGATTTGTTGTTTCTTTGACTTGAATTCAGTTTGGACAGTTTGGGCTTCGGGGAGCTTTGATATCTTGTTGCGGATGAAAAAAAAAAACAAAAACCCCACAGAAACATCGGCCATATCGATCCGAATCGTAAGCCGTGATAAATGGGTGGAAATTTCAAATCCTTCCTTCCTCGAATGGTCTCACAGGCCGCGTGTTGAGAATCGCATCGAGTCGTCTTTTGTGAAGAGACGCACGCCGCGTCAGTCTATTGCCTCAACGATCAAACCGCTGACCCGATGAACCGAGTTCCCAGCAGCCAAACGATGAACCCCACGAACCAAACGAACTAACAGACAAACATTTACGAGCAAACAGCCGACTTAACCAACAAGCTACCGACCAGAATGAACTAACCTGCCGGCACTCTGGCATCTCACCGCGCTAACTAACTAGCCGACATCCAAAAACGAAATGACTCTCTCTTAGAAACAATGAAAGCAATGAAATAAAGTGAGGAAGAGGACCTAGGACAGAACCCTGTGGGACTCGTGGAGACGAGAAAGTACAGCGTCGGCCTTTTTTGCCGTGTGCTAAAAAGGATGACGTAACGGTCTCACCGCGTACGCAGGCGGGGCGGGCGCGGGTGGCGCCGGCCATTTGTCCCGGGACGCAAGCGCAGCGGGCCGTCTGCCGGGCGACGTTTCGTCTGGGGTGGCCGCCGCGGCGCTCCAGCGTCACCACTTGGCAGCTGCCCACCTGCGGCTCACCTGCGTGAGACACAATCGCTGGATTGGCTCTTCAAAATAAAAGGAGGTGGCATTCGGGATTCCCCGTTTGTCGTTCTTGTCCCTGAAACGCGTGGGCGTGGGAAATCGCGCGTGTTTCTCATGCGTTTCTTGGAATCGGCTGCAGTTTTTCAGATAGGAACATTTGGGACGACGAATTGATTCGATGACGAATGCGCTTTTGACAGGGGACGGAACTTATGCTTTGACCTCACCTTGTTTTTGCCGATGTTGGCTAACTTTGCGGATTTTGGGGCATGATTTTCACACGAACGCGCTTTTTGCAGAAAGAAGGCTCTCCGCGACGACAACGACCGCGGAATTGGACGACCATTGGAATATTCGGCGATTCATCGACAGACTCATCGATGATGAAAATCCTCTTTTGGCGTGGCCCCACAGGAGACACAAAGAAGTGGTGATTTTTTTCTTTCGAAAATGTCACAAATGACATTTGAAATGTTGACTTAGTAGCCACAATGTGGACGTAGATCAATGAAATTGTTCGCAGTGTTTTTCCTGCTGTTGCTAGGCAGAGTTCGGGGGCTACCCTCGTTCCTGCGTGCAGCAGGTATGTTTTGGACTCACAGTGGCACCACGACGTACAATTTGAGTTGCGCTGAATCCCTCAGATGAGGAACTAGTATGACGTTGTCGTCATTGGTAGGTCGAGAGATCACTTGAGCCTGTCAAAAGTCTCACCACAACTCCGAATGCGGGGCTGCCGGGAAACCCGTCGGCGTGTACGCGCGCGCGAGCGAGCGAGCGAGCGAGCGAGACGCACCTTGGCGGAGGTCGTGCCTGCGGAGCGCGCACAGGAGGAACCAGCAGAGCCCCGCGGCGCTCAGGGGCATCAGCAGCCGCAGGAGCTGCATGGGAGGCCGGCGTCAGGGGTCCAAAATGGGGGGGGCTCAACGGCCGGACCGAGGTGCTCCCGGGTCGGCTCCGCCGGAGGGGCGCGGGGGCGGCATGCCGCGCGCGGCTGACAAAAATTCACCTGGAAGTCGCTCTTCAGCGCACCAACCAATGCGTGTAAAAGAGAAAACGCGCAATTTCCCGGCTTCGTCGTCGCACGTCCTGCGCCTCCGCGGCCGGCGGTGCGCGGAGGAGTCGCTGGAAGTGAAGGAGACGCCGGAGCTTGTGCCGGAGTGAGCAAGATGAGGCCACAGAGAGAGAGAGAAAGAAAAAAAGAAAGAAGCTCACTTTCACTCTCGTCTCTGTGACGTCACGCAGGCAAATTGAGTCGCTTGCGTAGCCTTAAATTGAAGATGTCAAACCCTCGTTGGAGTCTCAAGATAGATTCAGTCAAAGCAATATGTCGCGAGTGCCGTCACCTTTCACCTCGCCGACAATCGAGTGGAAGGCTCATCGGGAGCCACATCGCAATTCTTTTCGACTCTCGTCTCTGTGACGTCACGCAGGCAAATTGAGGCTCCAAAGTCGCTTGCGTAGCCTTAAATTGAAGAAGTCACACCCTCGTTGGAGTCTCAAGATTGAGACAATCGAGTGGAAGGCTCATCGGGAGCCGGATCGCAATTCTTTTCCTGTTCAATAGATTTCAATTGTGTTGTATTGAGGTGCATTGTTCTCGCCCGCTTGAGGCGAAGGGCTCAATTCTTGACGCTTCGCTTTCAGCCTTCGAGCCTGTTGCATGTGCGCGGTGACTCGGGGGCACGTCAGCGACCGCGCCACAAGTTGCAGTGAAACCCGAATGCCGAAACGTCCGTCGGTCTGTCCGTTCACACAAATGCACTTTACGTCCCCGTAAGCGCACACGTGATGACATCTGGCCTCGCATCCGTGAGCGTTTTGGACTTGGCACAACGGCAAAACGAAGCGCGACCGTTGGGGCGCGCGCCCTCGTCGGTCTGGGCCAAATGTCCATTTTGGGACACCGAAGAGCTTTCTCCCGTGAGCACATTTGCGAAACGTTTCGATGAATGAAGCCCGTTGACTCGCTTGAGTCGTTAGCTCGATGCTAACAATGAGCATTTGCCAGAGCGACTCAAACCCCGAGTCGGGAGGATTCAAGAAAAATGTCCCAAACAACGACGCGGACGTCTTTGTGACCTCTGACCTCTGAATTTTGCGACGTCTCCCGGGACCGGCGAGACCCTTCGAGGAACACTTGGCCCCGCTTTTGGGTTGCTCTGTTTGTGGCGTTGATGGGGAACGATTCAGTCAACCGAATCGTCGGACTCCGCTGCGTGAGTCAGTGCACCGATACGACCAATAAATTGGCGCGTTCGTCGGGCCTATTTTTCTTGGCGAGGGCGCTCTCGCGTTCACTCTTTGCAGCGGAGAGTTGTTTTCTCATTTCAGATGCGAACAAGTTGATGGCGCTTGAGGGAACTTCCTGTTTTCCCTCCTAAATGTTCCACTCTGTCAATATTTCATCGCGTGCGGTGCCCCGCCCCCCTCACTTCCCCCGGACGAGGGCGGGGAAAGTGTCGTCAACCGGCGGGGTGGCGCCGGTGCGTCTTTGAGGCAGTCGGGTTGCGTCATCGCGTTGACACCTGAAACGTTGATGAGGCGCAAAGCGCCAAGGGAGGCGGGCGCATCCGATGCGTCAACATCCCGTCGAGCCGTCTCGGGGAAGCCAACACGACCGAACGATTCGGGTTCGAGGGTGACAGTCCCAAGCGAGTCCGCGAACTTAACCGATCCAATCGGGTCGTCCTCGTCTGCGGTGCTGCCAGTGAAAGCCCACAACTGAATTGTTTTCATTTGAGTCAGCGAGTCGACACATCGGAGTTCGCCGCGGTGAGTCGGTGAGCTCACACAATCGAGTCACAGGGTGAGTCAGTGACCGAATGGTCTTGAGTCTCCACTGCTTACTCTCAGTCCAGTTACTCGAGTCAGCGAAATTCGGAAGGCAAATCTTCGGATGCATAAAACATGTTTTCACATTAATGCCCCAAAAGACTAAAGAAAAGCCTCGCTTGTGGAAAAAACGAGCAAGCACGCGCACCTGACCTTTAAAAGTGCGTTTGTGCGTGCGTGTGTGTCAAGTTGTATAGGTCAGAGTTTCACGACATTTATGCACATCAACGGAAGCTACTCAATAAAACATGACGTCATCTCACCTAATATTTCACGTGACCGCATATGATCCTCCCAATGTGTGCGCAGTTAATTTCTTCCGAATAAAACAAAAGTCAACTAGATTTCGTATCCGTGTTGTCTGCGAGGTGACGTCGCATAACATGTCTTAAAAAAAAGCAAAGCACGCTCCTGACGCTGGTCCTTTAGATGCCCGCTGAGTTGAAGTTACAAAGGCAACTGAAAGTGAGCTGCCGTGAATTTAGTCCGCGTGCGTTTTGATTTTGATTTTGCTCTCTCGCTGGTCAAGATGGTGAGCCGAAGAGCAGAGCAGTTTGGCACATGTGAACGGTTGTTAAAAAAATATATATATAATAACAGGCTTCAAGATGGTTTATAGCTGCTCCCGCTTGGAGTGGACTCTTAAGGTAAACATTAAACAAACCGAACAACAATATGTATGTGTTTGTATGTACAACCACCACAACTTCGTCCCAGGAAAGTCGTCTCGGGGAAGCCAACACGACCGAACGATTCGGGTCCGAGGGTGACAGTCCCAAGTGAGTCCGCGAACTTAACCGATCCAGTCGGGTCGTCCTCGTCTGCGGTGCAGCCAACACACACACAATGGGACCAGAGAGCAAAAATTGTAGACAGACAATGTTATAATATCACACGCATATATTCTTGATCCTCCGTGAAGGACGACTAATGTTCCTGTGGTTTATCGCGACGCCTTCATTACACTGCCCCCCAGTGGCCATGGTGCTCACACCAGAAGAAGCAAGGGAATGTCCATTGAATTGAAGCACAAAGGGTGACAAAAAAAAAAACGTTTGATTCTTTACAGTCTATTGGATTCTGTCTCGATTGTATATATTTTTTTAATAAAGCATAATATTATGACGTGATATTAGAGCCATTCTCAAACCTGTGCAGGTCTCACGCTGCATTCAAGACTACTGCAAGGTAGGACATTTACCATCTAGAGGTGGAAAAAGAACCCCAAAGACTTTTTTTTTTTTTAATGATTTATCAGTGGATAGCCTCCATGAAGAAATAGGTTCTACGACACTGTCAAGTACACAAACCAAACGGCTGTCGACCTCGCACATCTAGAATTTCGTGTTCCGGGCCAGGTTCCCGAAGAGGCGGCGGCAGTCTTAATTTCCCACTTTTGTGTCGTCTTGAACGCAGCATCCGCCCGCTTTCACGAACCTGTCGAGTTCTTCAATCGAGAGGCGGTTGGCGGCTGGACGAGGCGCAGCTGGAGACGCGGTGCAATCAACTAGTGGGAGGAGCCTAAAAGCACCATTGCATTTCTTTTCAGAACTCAACGCACCGAAGCGAAACGTCATCACCATGACTCTGAACCAAGTACTTTTATGTCTGGCGTTAGCATTAGCATCATTAGCCTCCGCCCGGGACTTGAAGTCGAGACCAAAAGTCCAGCAGCCGGCAGGTAAATATTTCCAAAGTCCTCATAAATAAATTGAAATCATGACGTTTTGTACATGATACATTTACAAGCGGACACGGAAACTCTTTTCATGGTTTCCTGGTCGTCTTTGATGAATTTCTCCCTGTGCTGTTCTCTTCTTTCACTGAGCGGCGCTTCGAGACGCGTTTGCTTTTTGACGGACTCGGTTGATCGCAGCTCGAGCAGAATTCATGTTCAGATCCCGTCATATTTTCTGCATTCATTGTCCATCGTCTTCATTAAAAACAACAGCGATCTAATATTCTCTTTATATATGTGTTAATCAAGCGGTTATTTCATTTTCATTTTGTTTCAAAAGTCAAATGGATGGATGGGTGGCAAAACTTGTTCCATACATTTGCTATGTTAATGAATTTTACTGGTTGCTAAATTCACGAGATTATGTCGAATGTGGTTAAAAGAATGAGAACTTTTATGTTAAACTATTTTGAATGCGCTTCACCCCCCCAACTTCCTTTAAAAAATACAAATGTTAAAACGATTTAGTACAAAATCTCAGCCACTCTCTTGACATTTACATCGATGATAATACGCTAATGCTATTCATGTTTCGTATGTTGAAATGTCACGATATCTTAGCATGACCAAGCACAAACCACAAAAAAAAAGGACCCTCGACTGATTGGTTCAAGATGTGCTCATCGCAAAACATATTAAGGCCGATTCATCACTTAATGCCGTGGAATCTTCTTTGGAGACCGTACAGTTTGCTGATCTCCGTCTGCAGGTGCAGTTCGCCAACCTTTTCCTCCAGCGCACCAAGTGAAGCGGTCCTTCCGTGAGCCGTTGTCCTGGAGGTCTCCGGATCCCCCGGCGGAAGAGGAGCCCCGCTTCCCGCCGCATTTTGAGCTGAAGAAGCCTCCCGAGGCGTCCGACGCCATCCTGGTTGTGTGCGAGGAAAACTCGGTCCGGGTGGAGGCCAAGCGAGACCTCCTGGGGATCGGGCAGCTCGTCAAGGCTGCAGATGTCACGCTGGGAGGGTGTCCCGCCACCGGCGAAGACACTCGGCACCAGGTCCTCATCTTTGAGTCGGAACTCCACCAGTGCGGCAGCCGGCTGCTGGTGAGTTTCTGACCGGATCTGAAGTTCTAAGACTTGACGCATACCGAGGTAGCCTTGACTGATGTTGGTTTGGAAATTGATATATCGAGCCACCACATCCGGTTCCTTTGCGTGGGAGGGAGCTATTCTCAACCGCTCCGAGACATCCTGTAGTCCCTGTAATGTGTCCGACTAGCCCTGGAGTAGCTCCTCACGGAGTAGCCCTGGAGGCATTGGAGATACACTACTACTCCCAAAAGGTTCGGGATGTTGGCCTTGGGGGTGACAAAAAAAAACAAAAAAAAACAGAAAATGTATTAGCCAGGGGATGGTCCTCAGACTCGCTGGGTGAATCACAAGGAAACCTCTCGCGGCTGGCATGGGAATGTCCAGGTAAATGTGGACCGTGTGAGCCAGGGCCAGATGGATTCAGGAAAATGGCTGAATGATTGTTGATCTGAAGCCGACTTGTCAACTGTTTGGTTTTTGAGGACACTTTAGTCTCAGTCTACCAGCCCATATCCGTTCCTCCACTCACCAACAGTCACAAACCTTTTGGATAAGGATCTTCCTCTGTGAGGCGTCCACTGTTAGCAGCTCTGTCATCCGGGATGGTCTCCGAGAAGCTCCTGCATACGGAGGATCCAGACGGTGGCTTGGTCATCCATCTTGAATGCCTCCCCGGCAACTCCCCGCGAAGGTACTACCACCTACCCGATGGAGTGTCGCAGGGTAGACCGAGGAGTCGCTTGAGGGACTATGTCTCCCAGCTGATCTGGGAACGCTTTGGAGACTCTGAGCACCTATGACCAGGATGTGACGAAAAGGACGGACGGACGGACGGATGGATGGATGATGCAAACTGACCCGTTCTCCATTTCAGATGTCTGAGGACGACTTGGTCTACGTGTTCACGCTGCAGTACACCCCTTCTCCTCTGGGAGACACGCCCATCGTCCGGACCAGAGATGTCACGGTCAGCATTGAGTGTCAGTACCAGAGGTGGGACTCTACGCAACTAAAGTACCGTGCAGTAGCACCGTGACCTGTGCCTTTTAATTGATTCTGTGACCTCAATTGACCCCTATAGTCCAAGTCGATCTCTCGAGCGATGGCGCCGATGTTCCGCTTCTGCCAACTTTGCGTTGCATTTTTAGGAAGCATGACGTGAGCAGCGGTTTCCTGAGTCCCACCTGGGCCTCGTTTAATGACTCTCAAGTTTCTGAGGAAAGCCTCTACTTCTCCTTTAGGCTGATGACCGGTGGGTGCCCTTTTTAGCTTCCAGCGCAAAATCATTTTGAGGTGATGCTCTCGCTTGTCCTCGTCCTCTCTCAAGATGACTGGCAGGTCGCTCGGCCGTCTTCTCAGTTCACGCTGGGCGACATGATGAAGTTTGAGGTTTCGGTCAAGCAGTTCCACCACACGCCCCTCAGAGTGACGGTGGACGACTGCGTCGCTACCGTGGTCAGGAACGTGGACACGGTCCCTCGGTACTCCTTCCTGGGTAACAACGGGTGCGTTTGTTTGGACCAAAGTTTTTTTTTAAACCCTATTCACTGAAATTACACACGCGTACCACAGTCCGAAAAAAAAAGAAACGGCATGAGGCCTAATGGGGAGGTTTCAGCGGGGTGGGGGGGGGTCCTTCCTCTTGTGGAAATTCAAATGCATGCTCACCTCCACCGTTTGCTATCAATCTGGAGCTCACAGTCCAGAGTCACTGCTTGTGTACTCCAATTAACGCAGATGTCGCGATACATTATTGAAGATGCAAAAAAAAAAAAAAAATTGATAATTACTGCTGTCAAATGATTAAAATATTTAATTGTGATCAAATGTATAATTTCATAGTTAACTCAGAATTAGCCGTAATTAATCACAGATTTTTATCTATTCTAAATTTCCTTTCATTTCTTTTTCTCCCATTTTTCCCATTTTAATGATCTCATCAACATGGAATCGTGAATCAGTTTTCTTTGTGCAAAATGCAAATATTTACTGAAACAACAATTTCGATTTTCAACTTGACATGAACATTTTTCACATGGAGCACATTTGATGATTTTAGAGCAACGTAACATCTGCTGTTCACGTGGTGCCGCATTAATCTGGCGATTAAAAAAAAAAAAGAATCAAGTTAAAATTGTTTTAAATGAATGCCGATAATAATGCGTTAAACTGACCGCACTAATAATAATAATAATATAATAATAATAATAATACATTACATTTATAAGCGCCTTTCAAAACACTCAAGGACACTTTACAATCAAAACAAGAACAATAAAACCACAGATAAAATTATAAATAATAAAAGGAGAGATGAATTTAAACTCAATTTAGCGACTCGAAATAGTTGACGCCGGCAACATCGCCGCCACAAGGAGCACCAGCTGACCCAGCAAGGCCGGCC